ATAAACTGCTTCGCGGATTTATGCAAAGTGCACATTTTTTTTCGGTATATACCGTATATACCAAAACAAAATCTTGGTCATTCCTTAAATATTTGAAACGCTAATACATGTTAGCGTTAAAATAACATACAATTGAAGGAATACCTTACAAAAATCCAACTCCTGACTGAGTTTTTTGCTTTTCCTTGGCGATGCCTTACATAGCCTACAGCTCTAAGGCAAAAATGTATGAATGCTTATTTCAGAAAGGTTTCATTAATTCCTACAAATTGTGATTGGAACCTCCAGTAAGTGCGAATCTATATACACAAGGTACCGTCGTGAAGGTCACGCGTACTAACAAGTGCCGGATATTCATTAATATAGCGTATAAGCGGGTCTTCCGAGAGTATAGACTGTGTCAATAAACTTGTCCTACTTAAGGAAGTGCAGACCTAATAACAACGCAACAGATGTACACTCTAGACAATCTTCGTAATAGTTTGTCGCGCAATTTTGACAAGTTCCTTGTCTGAGCTCTAGCCTATAAGAAATGGGGTTATCTTTATCCGGAAAACAAAGCTAGCCTATAATGACAGGAAACTTTGAAGACTGATCGCATGGTCCTCAATCATCCGATCCGTTTGTAAACGACTGCAATCAAACAGAGAAGGGGGTCTGGGTAAACCATCTGCTGCACCCATTGCAATAGTTGGGATCTTTATTTTTTCTGTCTCCTTCTATTAAGCTGTTATTTCCTAACGCCATTCTTGGCAACATCTCAATTTTTGGCTTTCATGTTGAGTGTTCGCCCAGGTGAGGAAGACAATGGGTTCTGTCCCCAGGCCGGGACACATCAAAGTTCTTAAAAATCGTAGTTGTTATTCCTTGCTTAACATTCAGCATTTAGGGGAAGGTCAACAACTGGTTCACCTGTTTTCAGTTTAATGTGACCTGGCGGAATGCTGTGCTGGGTGCCTTCGGCATGATATTTCAGTGTGATATCACTATAAAGTCGGCATCAGATCTGCTCTATCACAAGGAGTCAATTACAACAACCCTGTCTTCGACACACATACACACATGCACACCAATCATGGAGGCACGTCCTTAAATGACCTAAGCTGTTGATAGGACGTTAAACAAAATAAAACCAAACCAAACCAAACTAAACCAAGCCGATACAATATATCAGTACCATATTTACACTCAGAACACTGATGCTGATCATATTTTGTTTATTTTATCTTTATTACGCTTTCATTATACCCACAAGTCCCATTTATGGTGTTTTTTTCATTGATGATTTATAATAGCTATTGTCATGCCGGGAAAAATAAACAGTTTCCAATTCGTAGTTACCATTTTGGCAGTGTTGCGGCATATTTACCTTTGTGCATGTAGAACAGCAATATGTCTCTGGACTCTTTTGCATGATTACTTTGATATCAAAACTGTTTGTGATTGCGATTTCCACACACTAGATACATCAATGTCGTGATATTATCAATTTGGTATAAATGTTTTATCGAACTCAAATGATGGCAATACTTTTGCGGAGATTTCTTCTGAATATTAGTTTTCTACGCGGCGATGTGTTTTTTACATTGTAGTGTCTCGATGACGTATTTAAGACATGTTATGGATTTCCTCAGCATCCCTTTCTGGTTTGGGGGATGACTGCTGTATCCCACGTCAAGTCAGTGTTAGCGCTGGCTTTGTCGTGTCCCTGCAGAATCGGGAATTTTCTTATATGTCTTCTGGAAGAAACCAAAATTAATCTGCTATATGTACATTGCAGCATTTGGGATATGTACTTTTTTCTTTCTCTCCTACTATTTCATTCGGTTGTGTCTGTCCAGGTACCAGTCTGCATGTCACCTTTAAATGTTGCGAGTATAAGCTTAACACCAAACAAACAACCAGCCAAACAGACGTATTGAGCCGATGATAAATTGTTTTTATGATACCCTTTAATTTTCAGTCGTAATGAGATTATAAGTCCACAAGTGTATTACGGGTCGCCAATCCTTCTTCAAATACTTCGACAATAGCTATCAAATTCAGTACGTAAGATACTTTACCCGATCCTAACGTTCACACTTATATACTGCTGGTGTTTAGCTCTGAAATAAAAAAGAATAAAATGGTTCATGTAGGTCAAACCAGGGAAAGAATGTACATGTAGGTCATACCAGGGACCAGATTGTACATGCAGGTCACACGAGGGAAAAAATGTACATGTAGGTCACACCAGGGAAAGAATGTACATGTAGGTCATACCAGGGAAAGAATGTACATGTAGGTCACCAGGGAAAGAATGTTCATGTAGGTCACACCAGGGAAAGAATGTACATGTAGGTCATACTAGGGAAAGAATGTACATGAAGGTCATACCAGGGAAATAATGTACATGTAGGTCATACCAGGGAAAGAATGTACATGTAGGTCACACCAGGGAAAGAATGTACATGTAGGTCATACCAGGGAAAGAATGTACATGTAGGTCACACCAGGGAAAGAATGTACATGTAGGTCATTCCAGGGACCAGATTGTACATGTAGGACATACCAGGGAAAGATTGTACATGTAGGTCGTACCAGGGAAAGAATGTACATGTAGGTCACACCAGGGAAAGAATGTACATGTAGGTCACTCCAGGGACCAGATTGTACATGTAGGACATACCAGGGAAGAGATTGTGTAAGAACATGGTGTGCATGCTTCCGTTGTTCGACCTACTCATTCCTGCTGAAGAAGTCACACTTACATTGTTGTTTGGGTTGACCTTTTGGAGTTAAATCCAATAAATACATGTTTGGAACGGTCACGATGTAATAACAATAAAAAAAACAATTCTTAGGTACTGATGACAGATGGTCTGTCCCATGTCTTATGTGTTCCTTAGTCTAGGTAATTGAAGTAAGTGGGGACGTTGACGCATAAGTTTAGTTTAGCCTTTACGGAACTCCTGTCTGTACGTGTAAGGTATTCCTGTTGTCTGGCAGTGTAAACTTGTAATTTACCATAAATATCAGAACACATTTGCAGGAGGCATTCCTGCTAAGAATTTCAATCGAGATGTTTTATAATAGCGTAAATAATGCAGGATGTCATGCTCCAGTGATGAACATTTATGCAGGACTTGATGCTTCATTGGTGTAAATTAATGCAGGAATTCATTTTTCATTGATGTAAATGAATGCAGGACTGCATGAATGTAACGTATATCCGATATTCAGGTAAACTATACGTGTTAAAGAACTTTATCACATACACATACGTTTTTTTAATGATTCCTTTTTTTCATATATTGGCTACGTTAGTTCTATATTCATGATCGTGTTCTAATGAAAGTATTTTCCAGACATTCATGACAATCAGTTCGAATGACACTTACATACTTACGTAGCTCTTTGATCAAACAGCTGAATTTCTTTTTAAAATATCAAAGACTGCAGGCTGACAGCAACTGTACGAAAGGGGTTGGTGTATTGCTGGTATTTCTTCCGTCTGATTGTTTACAGATTACTAGCCAGAAGACTTGGTCAATAGATACAGTAACGTAAACTTAATACCGGAAATTATTACCGACACAGGCTGTTATTGTACTTACAAACTATGCCATAATAATCCTTTAATTTAACCTCCGAAATAACTTTGTTGGAAACACCTAATTAGTGTCTGGTCCTGAAACACCAGAGATCGATTTGCCGGTTCTGTAACATCTAGGGGGAGTTCCGATGGGTCGTTTGGCGACGCTAATTATACCCTTGCACATGGCTGGAAGGTCATTATGCAAGGTCAGATTTATACCGCCATACCCTAGACGACAGACATCCAAACACACCCATACATCGATCTAGTTACGCTACTTTAGTGGGATATAGCTCCTCGGAAATCGATTCGGAGAGAAGATTGCGATAATTAGAAAAAATCGTCATGATGTTAAAGGGTTATAAAGCCAACAGCCTCGTTCTAATTTGAACAATTTCATTGACTGTGTAAATTGTATATTGTGATAGTTACACCAGCGAATCAATAGATGAAAAAGATACAAATAAGCATCATTATGTAATTAAGTAAACTACTTTCATTCAATTTTCAATCATTGTCTCGGATGTATTCTGTTGCAGCAGGACGTGGGGAAAATATCAATGTCTGTTATCGATTCTCTAGATTTAATCCTTAGACTTAAATAAGAAAGTAATCTTTTTAACTTACGATAATTCAATAAAGAAACTTGTCATCTGAAACATTTGTGGGCGAAACATCTTCTCAATTGACACGATATTGACAGTCGGTTTCAAAAGTGAGAATACAGTGTATAGGTTGAATAGCGCTGCTACAAACTGAACGCGCACTGGCTAGCATGGAAATCCATGGAAATCCATTGGGATCCATTGGGAAACTCTACAGGAATTAAAATGCATATGCACGGATCTTAGAGTCATGTCCTTCGATAAATGAACTTATTAAACCTAACATCATTTCCATCCACAACTACACTGTAATCACGCGCTACCGGGAGGGAGGCTAGGGGTAATTATTATTAAAAGAAAGTGTTACGTGGATATGGTGCGTTGATAGGTGATTTCATTCTAAGAATGTTCTCTGTATGAAGTACAGTCTAAAGTTATCCACACTGATGAGAAATGTTTTGCTGTGCGATGACTATCGCCCGGTTGATAGTTCTCGAACAATCATCTGCCAATCAGAATTTGCGTTACAATATTTAGTATAGTAGTTTGTAATACATCCAACTGTGTCAATAGCATCCTAGTGTAAACATGCGCCGATTTGTATTACATTCACTTATGTTAATACCACCTTTGTGTTAATACAATGTATGTAGTAATTTGTATTCCATCTGACTATGTTAATTACACTATCATGTAACTATATATAGCACATCACGTGATCACAACGATGCAAATTTCTAACGACCGACGCAATTCCTTTGAATACCTATTGTATTTAACGATCTTATTACATCATTGATTATTGTTTACACTTACAGGATGGTTTCGTTTGATAGACGACCTAGAAATGCCCATGAAAACTGTTGCCAGTGTCGCTAGAGTCATGCCGGTCCGAATGTTGTCAGCCAAGTTTGTCCCTGGCTTTGTCCTAAAGGAGCCTCCATGTGAAAGTGAACCGGAAGGACTGTACCAGAGGGTAGAGGTCCAGCCAGGGGTCCTTCGGGTCTTCAACATCCACGAGGACTACATCCGCTACAACAACTACCGAAAGTTAACACGCCGGAAGTTACTTCGTTGTTTACGGTGCATTATGGATGACAATACAGAGGTTTTACTTCCGTTTGACGCAGAAGGCCTGTTTTATATGATAGAAGCGAGAAAGACAACTTCAAAACACATCAATGTCGACGATATTGCTTATGTGTACAGTATCAATGATTTATTATCGGCAGGACTAGCAAAGGGAGTGTTTATCAAACTGTTACACGGTCGCCCGCCCTCCAAACCGTGCAGCTTCACTTCTGTTTTACAAATACACGACGTTATAAAAGATCACACCATTGTGGCATGTACAATGGACGAGAAAAAAAGTTTACTCGAACTTCCGGTGGCCAACGTTCCACTGTTTGTGAAGGCTTTGAATACGACTGACTTGTGTATGAATGGTTTGTACGCTGAAACCTTGTCACATCTCCAAAAAACGGCTGAAAATTATACAACTGAAATGAAGGTTAGATATCACTACAGCGTTGAAACATCGTCAGAGAAAGGCAAGGGGAAGGATTGAGAGTGTAATGTTGGCACAGAACCCATTAAGTGTAATTATATTGATGTGATCCCATTGTGTAACGCATGATCAATACCACGCGATGCTAACTACGTCTGACGGTCTGTAAACGAACTTTCAATTTCCAAGATTCCAAAACGCGACGACATTTTATAATTCCGAAATCAATTTAACATGTTTTTTTCATTCTATTTTCATGGCTTATCTGTTGGAAGTCTCGATGTATAGGTACGTGTGTATAACATTAAAAAAGCACTGTCAAATTGTACGTCCCTTGTCCTTTCTCCTCTGTATCATCGTAAGTAGAGCTGTGGTGATACAGAAGCTGTCCCTCAGTTAGAGGGATACAAATAGGTTATCGCGAGATGGTTTTTACTGCCACAGTGCAGTTCAAAGTCTACAGCATATATATAGTTATTATTCGTTTCTAGGCAACATAAATAATGGCATTTAACAAACACGCGCATTACTGGTTTCTAGCCAACGGTATTTTTTAACATTTCGTTTGCTGTAGATGAGTACGAAGCGTTATCCGAACATGCAGAAACATTTAATGGCGAAGTACAATTATGACTAAAGCACTACAGGGCAAAAACTACGACAAAAATGCATTATGAAAAAAACATTTGTTCAGAAAAATATAAAACGCGACTGGAATTAGTCAGGACCTCCAGGGGCTATTGTACAAGGCATAGAATTTGTAAAACCTTCCTAGAAAAACGGGGATTGAGAAAAGAGTACACCTGCTGTTAGACACTGCATGTTGTAAGTGAGGAGGCAACTACAAATGCAGTGTGGAATCACCTGCAGAATTTCGGCTTAGCTTTTGTGCCCCTACCTGATGACACAAATAGCGACTAAAATAAATCTGCTGCGCCCATTGCAATATTTGGTCTTTATTTGCACTCTTTTCGATTAACTTCTTTCATTTATAAATACCTCTCTTGGCAATACCTCTCCTGGCAATACCTTTCTTGGCAATACCTCGCTTCTTGCCTTGGTGTCGAGCGTTCGCCAAAGCGATAAGGTTACCGGATATGTCCCCTGACCAAGAAAAAACAATGTTGTTGTGTTTTTAATTGATTCTTGCCGCTATCTACTAGACATTCAGTATCCCTACTGGAAAGAGTCCTCTCTTGGACATTCATACAGGAATCGGTCATCTCTGAGGAATTCTTATAGGAAACAGTCCTTTCTGGACATTTCTTATGTCGCAATGGAACACATTTATTTCCTTTGAGTCAATTAGTAGCTAAAACGAGTGTTTCTATATTTAGTTTAACCTCTTCCAGCTGATACAAGGGACTGCCCTAGAGAGAGGGGTCAAAAGGGTTCAAATTGCCTGCTTTGTTTTAAGCGACTTTTCTTTCGTAACTAATGGACAAAATACAACCAAATTCTTGTAATGAAATGGGAATTGGAGGGGATCAAAATGTAAATAAAGTTGCTGACACGTGTGGATGCTAGAGGGGCGGGGTTAGAAATAGTCAATTTGGCTAATTTTAGTTAAACTATGTCTCCTTAAAAACTAATTGACATATTTTAACCGACTTTTTCTTGGTGGTAGGATCCTTAATCCATGTGGAGCAACAGTTCTACAAGGGAAGTTGCACCCTGGCTGCTCGGCACTTTTAAACCGAAACAAAATTTTCTCTTTAAAATATTGTGAGCGATTCAGTGCCCTTGCCAGACATTTTACAAGAGGAAATTTTCTAGTCATCTCAGTTCTATTTTAAAAAAAATAACGGCATCGCCATTTATATAGATTACATGGATTTCGTGCTGTTTTAGAATTATCGAGTATTTCGTGGTCTCTAATCAGTCATAACGTTTGCCTGGTTATTTAGTGAAATACGTGGTGTAACTAGTGCTGAGATTGTCATCAACATTAGTCAGTACTATCGACACTGGTACAGCTGTTAGATTGTTTCCACTCTTCGATAACACTCGCCCGTATTCTAAAAGATCGTTGCAGCAGAAACTCATTACTCCAGCATTCCGCAGGGAACACGGTATGTCAGCACCGCTAGCCTCCATCTCTTCCTTTATTTCCTAATATTTGGCAGTGTGCACATTTTGTTTGATGAGAAAGAATGATACCATATATAATCTCAGAATGATATGAAACCGCTTTCCAATCGGAATCAACAGCAGACCTGGACGTGCTTGATCAGGACAAATGACCTCCTAACTGTTTTCCATGTTGGGAGAGGTTATAATTCGTTCTACAACACCGTTTGAGATATAACGTTGTTAATAATTGATAAATAACAATGTATTGTTATGCACCTATTATACGTGTATTATTTTCCAACAAACCTTGAACGTGCAGCGCTCTTCCAAAAACGTCTGCCGTATTGCAAATTTTAAGTAAACAAATTAACCGTATGTGGCTTGTCTTGGACGAATTCATTTTGTGTTGTGAGGGTACACACGTGCATGTACGTACATACACGTTTCTACAAACATCCACGTTAAACAGGCACACGATCACTGGGTCAATGGCCAGAAATTATTAAATCAGCTGTGACATCGCCTAGTTGATATAACTGAAACTGGGCGTCACATGACAAATGCTCGTAGCGAGAAAACAAACCGGGCTTACTTAGATATTTGTTATTATGTCATGTTGTCCTAAAGGCAGTGAGATAAATACGAAAGTATTTTCAATTAAACATTTGTCCTGTGACAAAATAGATATAATTAACACATGTTTGTATAATACCGTAAAATATGTAACTTGGGAATCGAAAACGTTAAATAACTGAGGCCAAAATAGCCTTCCTTTATTATATTTCCAAAATTTCTCATCCCTGTTATTTATATTCCACAATGATACACGCTTATAAATAAACAATAGCGCGAATTCACTACTTGTAAACACATGCTAAAACTACAGGTACCAAACCAAACGATGTACCCTTGGGTTATTGTCAAATGAACAAATAAGTTTGCGGGTTCATGAGAATTGAGCACATGCTAGGTATGGTTGTTATTTTATATCTTTCTTCAACACATGCTAAGGTTCACAGTGTCGTATTTTAGTTCATCTTTAACTATACAGGCGTTGTTGAGTCCCGATAAAAGCCTGTAGTAAGACACCGAGAGACTATGTAGATTTAAATACAATAGATATTGTACATGTAGATGGTCGATAGTGTTACCGATCACACTGTTGATTACAATCAATTATATTGCATTTACTCATAATTAAAACATAAATGAATAAAAAATTGAATTGTAACTAAAAATAAAAAAATAAAAATAAATATATTAAGAATTTAAATTGTTTTGTGGTCTTTCTGATGCGTAAGTCTTACCATGTATTGTGATTTGAGTGTACCATTTCGTAAATTAATATTTGTTGAACTATATGTTATTAACAGGTTAAATTGAATCTACTGGAAAATAGATACAAAATTAGTTCATCACAAAGTCCGGTTACCTCCCTTGACCTTTTTGAAATACATGAATTTGCTCTATCATACCTGTGCAGGGTACATATGATGTTTTACCTAATGATTCCGAATTTTCTTAGGTTTTTAAATGTGTACGCTTACAATACACTGTATAAACACTGAAAATCAATGTGGGCCTAATACATTGACATAGTCACAGCCATATTTCAATATATCCCGTACTGGAATGGTTCAAGTAACCATGAAACTTTTGCAGGGATATGATTCAATAAACCCACGAGTCTTCCAAAAAAGTATCTAGGGACATTTTCTTTCAGCAATGATCTGAACACTCAACAGGATGGCCATATATATCTATATATTATTGTTAAGAATCTTTCTCACCTCAGATACACGCGTCATCTAACGGAATGGAATGTTCCTGTGGGATGTGTTCCTCGCATCTTAGGCAATGATATCTTGTGATACCCCGTGCTATATTTTTCTATCTCTTCCGATGTGTCTGACACATTTACGCGACATTTAACGCAAAAACGGCGGTATTGTAGTGCATCGTCTTCCTGCACATTAAAGCGCATAAACAAATTATCGATCTTCAATGTAATGTCATGATATTCTTTATCTCAAGAAACTACATACCAAACATTTTCTGCACTGTGAGGCATGTTGTTGTTTTTTGTGCTACAGAACCGTTTAAGATAGTTTTGGAATTACTTTCGTCACTTGACTCATACAGTGCAGACCTAAAGCTGTTTTTTTATTGGTTTACAAAACCATTTCTACAAAATTGATATTTGGATTGAGATGCGAAGAAACCATTTATAAACTTTATTAAGTTTACAACAATTATGAAAGTTATTTCCTAGATGTTTGCGCGCGGGAGGTTTTCATTGGGAGGAAACCGGAGTACCCGGAGAAAAACCTAACACGTAGTCGGGCAGGTGACCCATACCTTTTCATGCCCCGGCCGCCTTGGTGAAAGAACCTTTTGGTACGTACAACTCAAAATGTTGACGGGCAAGTACTCGCTTCGTTTGTTTCCATCTGTCGTTTTGTAAGAAATCAGCATATATTAATGTATATTTTATGCAACATCTCCTATGTCGATCATTTTATCTCTAGCTACAACAAGAATAACATAAATATCACATACTTTTTTACATAACATTATTTGAGTGGGCAGCATAACGCACACGGATAATACAGGAACGTTTGTAGGTAAAGACATAATACACGCTTTAGCTTTTATACCGTTGGAGTTACCGCCCTTGAACTATCAACACATCAGTTTTTGCCCGACTATTAGTTCATGTATTTTTGGTTTGGTTTGTTTGTGTTTTACGTCCTATTAACAGCTATGGTATCTTAAGGACGTGCCAGGTGGTGGTGGTGGTGGTGGAAAGCCTGAGTTCCCGGAGAAAAACCACCGACTTACCTGGCGACTGCCCCACGTAGGTTTCGAACCAGCGAACCAGCGGTGGAGGGCAAGTGGTAGCAGAATGTCATAAACCTTAACCACTTGGCAATCGCAGCCCCTTTCATATGTTTTAAGCAATGCCATATATTTCAGGGTAATATAAGACTTATACCTACTATGATGCTTATCTTTTTGAAAGGATTCTATAATCCATCGTTAAACATCACTCTATTATCTATCGTTAAACATCACTCTGTAATCTATCGTTAAACATCAATCGTAGCTTTAAATAAGTAAAAAGGCCGTGTGAAAAATTTGAGGCGTCAAATGGTGAACTTGTTAACCATGATGAAAATCAATTATACTGTTTACAGTTTATAAGATATACGGTAATGGTTTAAGGGATGTTCAGTTTACGATAAAGTGGATGTTCGAGTTATGGTTAAAGAGATGTTAATAATAAGGGGATGTTCCAGCTATTGTAAGGAGATGTAAAGGTGATGTTGCATTTTTGGTTAAGGAGGAGTGTTTTTTATGGTTTAGGAGTTGTACGGTTAATGATTATGGAGGAGTGTGGTTTATGGTTAAGGAGGAGTGCGGTTTATGGTTAAGAATAAGTGCAATTTATGTTTAAGGAGGTGTGCGGCTAATGATTATGAATTTGTTCGGTTTATGGTTAAGGAGTGGGGTTTATGGTTAAAAATGAGTGCGGTTTATGAAAAAGGTGGAATTCGGTTTTATGGTTATGGAGGAGTGTGGTTTATGGTTAAGAATAAGTGCAATTTATGTTTAAGGAGGTGTGCGGTTAATAATGAAGGAGGAGTGTGGTTGATGGTTAAGGAGGATTGTGGGTAATGGTTAAGGAGGAGTTCGGTTTATGATTAAGGAGGAGTGCGGTTTATGGTTAAGGAAGAGTACGGTTTATGGTTAAGGAAGAGTTCGGTTTTTGGTTAAGGAGGAGTGTGGTTTATGGTTAAGGAGGAGTTCGGGTTATGGTTAAGGAGGAGTGTGGTTTATGGTTAAGGAGGAGTGCGGTTTATGTTTAAGGAAGAGTACGCTTTATGGTTAAGGAAGAGTGCGGTTTATGGTTAAGGAGGAGTGCGGTTTATGGTTAAGGAGGTGTGCGGTTAATAATGAAGGAGGAGTGTGGTTGATGGTTAAGGAGGATCGCGGGTAATGGTTAAGGAGGAGTGCGGTTTATGGTTAAGGAAGAGTGCGGTTTATGGTTAAGGAAGAGTTCGGTTTATGGTTAAGGAGGAGTGTGGTTTATGGCTAAGGAGGAGTGCGGTTTATGGTTAAGGAGGATTGAGGTTTATGGTTAAGGAGGAGTTCGGTTTATGTTTAAGGAAGAGTACGGTTTATGGTTAAGGAAGAGTGCGGTTTATGGTTAAGGAAGATTGAGGTTTATGGTTAAGGAGGAGTTCGGTTTATGATTAAGGAAGAGTGCGGTTTATGATAAGGAAGAGTGCGGTTTATGGTTAAGGAGGAGTGCGGTTTACGATTAAGGAGGAGTGTGGTTTATGGTTAAGAGGAGTGCGATTTACGATTAAGGAGGAGTGCGGTTTATGGTTAAGGAGGAGTGCGGTTTATGGGTAAGGAGGAGTGCGGTTTATGGTTAAATCCTGACGTTGATTGGTTTTCTTTTTGTGGAATGAAGATTGAATCTTTTGTGAACCAGCAACTTTTTGAATGTGTTAAAGTCGAACAGTTTCTCAAATATTGATATTTATAATGAGTTCATAATACGAGAATGATTCGGACCCATATTTTATGTTAGGTAAGCGTTCAAAATGTCACATGTACCCAATGGGAATGTCACTTACTCGGAAAAATCAAATTTTGACGAATTTAAACAAATATGATATGACTCAAAGACTTTAAAGACTTTGGATTATAAATTCGTAAAGACGGTACGTGTATTTACAACTCCCGAGATTGAATATTAGCAATACGCTCTGGAATGTGCAATGTTTTTACCTAATAGTACCAATGCTGATTTCGTGTTCGTATTTCGAGAGGGGTTTCGTCCTTACTACAACCAGGGTCATATGAAGACGGTTCGTTGTCCTTATTTTACTCTCGACAACTGATGTACTATGTTTTTGTGTCGTTACAATGATATCCTTGCCAGACACATTTTTTACCCAATGCGACGTTTGACAATGTTTATGGGACACATAAGTACACTAGTGTTACTGTTTAAAGAAACCTTTTATTTTAATTCACACATTTCGGCCGTTACAAATCGCTCGAGTATGTATCCACTGAATGGGTTTTTTTCCCCGGTGACTGACGTTAATCGTTACGACATCTTGAATATAACGGTGATATCTCCGCTTAGGTGAGCGACTCCTCCATGCTGACTTTGTTTTAAATGTCAAAGTAGATTAGGTTCGTATAAGTTAACGTATGTAGGAAACTGTGGACTGCCGTCTGAACATGTTAGTACACAGATTGAATATGGTTTGGTTGGGTTTGGTTTAATTTTGTTTAACGTTCTATTAACAGCTAAGGTCATTTAAGGACGTGCCTCCATGTGTGTAGTGTATGCGTGCTTGCGTGTGTGTATGCAGGATACAAGGTATGTTGGTGGTGTGCTTAGAATTTCGGTTGCGTCTACCAAAATCCTAACATGAAAAGTGAGCTACATAAACATTATGAATAAGTTAAGTGATCTAATTGTAAATGAACTTCGTTAGCACTGTCCGCACCATTGTGTGGGTATTATTACATTACCACCGTGGTCGGTACCAAAGTATAATTCAATCCCATAGCAGGAATTCAAATCTCCCGGAACAAGTCGTTTTAACTTAAGCATCAGGAAACATTGTATACAAAGATTTCAATGCGTGTGTTTAAAACTTGAAAGAAACAGAGAACTACAAAGAAGACACAATAATTTGGCAAATAAATAGATCAATTTAATTATCATCAGGCTTTTAAAGAAACTGCATAGTTATACATTGTACATATATGTCCAAAATAACTTTTGCTACCCGCTATAAACAATGAAGATATAATTGAATCCTTCGTGAATCCCCTCTGTAAGCATTCATATAAATTACCATAGATATGAGAATAAAATCACAGGAAAAATACTCGTCATCAAGTTGAGCAGACTGTTGGAGGACATGATCAGAGGACACGCTGGCAATACGGTTCTGCTGCAGAAGTCTAAACCAACGGCGACTAGGGTTGCTTTCTAAATGTGCAAAAGCAAGAATATTTAATATAAATGATTCACAATTAAAAACTGTGACAGAACTGGGAAACACATCACATATTTCCTTGATCGGATATTCAGTTTTAGGCAAATTTCAATATCTTGAATTCTAAATTCATCTCCCGTTATCCTAGCATAACGTCGCATCATCCTGTGACCTGTCTGTCGTGATTTCCTTGAGCTCCACGAGACTACCCTTGATGGCCGCGCCGGACTGGTCGGCGCTCTGTATGGACTCTGTGTCGGAGGTTTCCTGTATAAAGGTGTCAACGGGTCCATCCGTCAGACTGATGTTGGTGATGAGATCCAGTGTCTGCAGACTGTCGTCTGCTCCACGCTTGGCTTTGGCGGTAGGAATGTGCTGATACAACTGCTGGTCAGTGTCCATTTCCGGTGAAAGTTTGATCAATGACGAATATGGCGACGCATACATATGACACAATTTCTTACTGTCCTTGTACGCCTTCTTGTGACAACAACTTTCACGCTCGTTCTCTACTACCTCCACAACACACGGTAAGTCTAGAGGCAGCTCGAACAGAACGTTACGTCGGTTGGACGCCGTGCTTCCCACAATGCTTTCACAAAGAGAGTGACTTTTCAGCACCATCATTCCTGTGAATATACATGGATTCACAGGGGCTTTTCCGAACAGGAGTCTTACTTTAAGTGGCAAAGTAAAATTAGAAACTATATCCTTCATATGCAATATACATCTACTATCTTTGGACCCTTTCTCATAAATGATATTGAATTTGCCTTTTTGTTTATATGGAATCATGACTTCTTTTCCGTCTTTGTCTAAACATTTAAGATATTGCTCTTCTTCTGTCGTCCAGTTTTTACTTTTCTTTTTCATTACACCCGTTTCTGCTGACGTCCGCCATTTTGCGGAGAACGTGCCCTCCACACGAAGAATAGATCCGGCAGACACTTTTCTCTCCAGATAGCTTTGCTCATCTCCTTCCTGAACTATTCGAATTCCCCTTAATCTCGTTCTCGTGAAGATTTTCTTTGGCATCACACTAGCAACCTCAGCAATGTCTTTACAGCAGCGCGCCCTAGTGAAGTCCGGAGGTACTAGCTCGAACCAACCTGTAACACAAACACACAGGGGATAAGGGAGAGAATTCGTAGAAAGCTCACCATGAAAATATTTCAGTTCAATAATTAATAGTCATTCTAGTTAACCTCCGTGTATGACAAGCGTCATTTATTCAAGGACCGATGTCGGTATATATAGATATAAAGATATTTTATACGATTTATAAGATACGTAAGATATTTAATTTGCTATAAGAGTTATTTTATATTTTATATGAGGTGTTTTATATATCAGATATCTTAGAGTATATGCTTGCTTTATTTTTTAGATATTTGACAGAAACTAAATAGATATCTTATATACACTGTACCATGTAAGAAATGCGTTTCATTATATAGATGTATATAATGAATGATGTTTTATATAGCGTATGAGATACATGTATCTGTATATCAACTATCTGATATACTATATATGATATCTTATATAATATACAAAATATGGTATAGGCCATATACAATATTGAATGTATGCTATATAAGATACATGTATCTTTTATACTTTTCTCAAATACATCATCGACATCGCTCCTTGAATAAATAAGTTGGCTTGCCATTAAGGTGACATAATAGAATGGAGACATTTGAGATAGCATATCAGCACTCAAGACACAGAGAAAACTATCTAACAGTATTTATGGAGACAGGGGAGATAATCTACCAGTATTTACGGAGACAGTGGAGATACTCTACCAGTATTAATAGAGACAGGGGAGATACCCTACCAGTATTTATGGAGACAGGGGAGATACCCTACCAGTATTAATGGAGACAGGGGAGATACTCTACCAGTATTTAAGGAGACAGGGGAGATACTCTACCAGTATTTATGGAGACATGGGAGATACTTTACCATTATGTATTGAGACAGAGTAGATACTCTACCAGTATGTATAGAGACAGGGGAGATACTCTACCAGTAATTATGGAGACAGGGGAGATACTCTACCAGTATTGAGGGAGACAGGGGAGATACTCTACCAGTTTTTATGGAGACAGGGGAGATACCCTACCAGTATTTATGGAGATAGGGGAGATACCCTACCAGTATTAATGGAGATAGGGGAGATACTCTACCAGTATTAATGGAGACAGAGGAGATACTCTACCAGTATGTATTGAGACAGAGGAGATACTCTACCAGTATGTATTGAGACAGGGGAGATACTCTACCAGTATTTATGGAGACAGGGGAGATACCCTACCAGTATTTATGGAGACAGGGGAGATACCCTACCAGTATTTATGGAGATAGGGGAGATACCCTAACAGTATTAATGGAGACAGGGGAGATACCCTACCAGTATTAATGGAGATAGGGGAGATACTCTACCAGTAGTAATGGAGATAGGGGAGATACTCTACCAGTAGTAATGGAGATAGGGGAGATACTCTACCAGTAGTAATGGAGATAGGGGAGATACTCTACCAGTATTAATGGAGACAGGGGAGATACCCTACCAGTATTTATGAAGACAGGGGAGATACTCTACCAGTATTTATGGAGACATGGGAGATACTTTACCAGTATGTATTGAGACAGAGTAGATACTCTACCAGTATGTATAGAGACAGGGGAGATACTCTACCAGAATTAATGGAGACAGAGGAGATACTCTACCAGTAGTAATGGAGATAGGGGAGATACCCTACCAGTATTAATGGAGACAGGGGAGATACTCTACCAGTATTAAAGAAGATAGGGGAGATACTCTACCAGTATTAATGGAGACAGGGGAGATACCCTACAAGTATTTATGGAGACAGGGGAGTTACTCTACCAGTATTTATGGAAACAGGGGAGATACTCTACCAGAATTAATGGAGACAGAGGAGATCCTCTACCAGTATGTATTGAGACAAGGGAGATACTCTACCAATATTTATGGAGACAGGGGAGATCCTCTACCAGTATGTAAAGAGACAGGGGAGATACTCTACACTCTACCAATATGTATTGTGACAGAGGAGATACTCTACCATTATGTATTGAGACAGAGGAGATACTCGACCAGTATGTATTTAGACAGGGGAGATACTCTACCAGGATTAATGGAGACAGAGGAGATCCTCTACCAGTATGTAAAGAGACAGGGGAGATACTCTACCCGTATTTATAGAGACAGGGGAGAAACTCTACCAGTATTTATGGAGGCGTGGGAGATCCTCTACCAGTATGTATTGAGACGGAGGAGATACTCTACCAGTATTACTGGAGACAGGGGAGATACTCTACCAGAATTTATGGAGACAGGGGAGATGCTCTACCAGTATTAATGGAGACAGAGGATATACTCTACCAGTATGTATTGCGACAGAGGAGATACTCGACCAGTATGTATTTAGACAGGGGAGATACTCTACCCGTATTTATAGAGACAGGGGAGACACTCTACCAGTATTTATAGAGACAGGGGAAATACTCTACCAGTATTAATGGAGACAGGGGAGATAACCTACCAGTATTAATGGAGACAGGGGAGGTACTCTACCAGTATTAAAGAAGAAAGGGGAGATACTCTACCAGTACTTATGGAGACAGGGGAGATACTCAACCAGTATGTATAGAGACAGGGGAGATACTCTCCCAGTATTTATAGAGACAGGGGAAATACTCTACCAGTATTTATGGGGATAGGGGAGATACTCTACCAGTACTTATGGAGACAGGGGAGATACTACCAGTATTTATGGAGACAGTGGAGATATTCTACCAGTATTAATAGAGACAGAGGAGATACTCTCCCAGTATGTATTGAGACAGGGGGGATACTTTACCAGTATTTATAGAGACAGGAGAGATACTCTACCAGTATTTAATGAGACAGTGGAGATACTCTACCAGTATTACTGGAGACAGGGGAGATACTCTACGAGTATTAATGGAGACAGAGGATATACTCTACCAGTATGTATTGAGTCAGAGGAGATACTCTACCAGTATGTTTTTAGACAGGGTAGATACTCTACCAGTATTTATTGAGACAGGGGAGATACCCTACAATTATTTATGGAGACAGGGGAGATGCTCTACCAGTATTTATGGAGACATGGGAGATACCCTACCAGTATGTATTGAGACAGGGGAGATACTTTACCAGGATTTATGGAGACAGTGGAGATATTCTACCAGTATTAATAGAGACAGGGGAGATACTCTCCCAGTATTTATGGAGACAGGGGGGCTACTCTACCAGTATTTTTGGAGACAGGGGAGATACTCTACCCGTATTTATAGAGACAGGGGAGAAACTCTACCAGTATTTATGGAGCCAGGGGAGATACTCTACCAGTAGTAATGGAGATAGGGGAGATACTCTACCAGTATTGATGGAGACAGGGGAGATAATCTACCAGTATTTATGGAGACGTGGGAGATACTCTACCAGTATTAAAGAAGATAGGGGAGATACTCTACCACTATTTATGGAGACAGGGGAGATAATCTACCAGTATTTAAGGAGACAGTGGAGATACTCTACCAGTATTTATGAAGACAGGGGAGATACTCTACCAGAATTAATGGAGACAGAGGAGATACTCTATCAGTATGTATTGAGACAGGGGGGATACTTTACCAGTATTTATAGAGACAGGGGAGAAACTCTACCAGTATTTATGGAGCCAGGGGAGATACTCTACCAGTGTTTATGGAGACAGGGGAGATACCCTACAATTATTTATGGAGACAGGGGAGATCCTCTACCAGTATGTATTGAGACAGAGGAGATACTCTACCAGTATGTTTTTAGACAGGGTAGATACTCTACCAGTATTTATGGAGACAGGGGAGATACTCTACCAGTATTTATAGAGACAGGGGAGATACTCTACCAGTATTAATGGAGACAGTTTATAGAGACAGGGGAGATACTCTACCACAGGGGAGATACTTTACCAGTATTTATAGAGACAGGGGAGAAACTCTACCAGTATTTATGGAGACAGGGGAGATACTCTACCAGTATTTATAGAGACAGGGGAGATACTCTACCAGTATTAATGGAGACAGGGGAGATACTCTACCAGTATTTATAGAGACAGGGGAGATACCCTACCCGCATTTATGGATAAATGGGAGATACTCTACCAGTATTTAGGGAGACAGGGGAGATACTCTACCAGTATTTATGGATACAGAGGAGATACTCTACCAGTATGTATAGAGACAGGGGAAATACTCTACCAGTATTTATGGAGACAGTGGAGATACTCTACCAGTATTTATAGAGACAGGGGAGATACCCTACCCGTATTTATGGATAAATGGGAGATACTCTACCAGTATTTATGGAGACAGGGGAGATACTCTACCAGTATTTATGGAGATAGGGGAGATACCCTACCAGTATTTATGTAGACAGGGGAGATACCCTACCAGTATGTATTGAGACAGGGGAGATACTCTACCAGTATGTATTAAGACAGGGGAGATACTCGACCAATATTTATGGAGATAGGGGAGATACTCGCCCAATATTTATGGAGACAGGGGAGATACTCTACCAGGATTTATGGAGATAGGGGAGATACCCTACCAGTATTTATGTAAACAGGGGAGATACCCTACCAGTATGTATTGAGATAGGGGAGATACTCTACCAATATTTATGGAGACAGGGGAGATACTCTACCAGGATTTATGGAGATAGGGGAGATACCCTACCAGTATTTATGGAGATAGGGGAGATACTCTACCAGTATTTATGGCGACAGGGGAGATACTCTACCAGTATTAATGGAGATAGGGGAGATACTCTACCAGTATTAATGGAGATAGGGGAGATACTCTACCAGTATTAATGGAGATAGGGGAGATACTCTACCAGTATTTATGGAGACAGTGGAGATACTTTACCAGTATTTATGGAGACAGTGGAGATACTCTACCAGTATTAATGGAGATAGGGGAGATACTCTACCAGTATTTATGGCGACAGGGGAGATACTCTACCAGTATTAATGGAGACAGAGGAGATACTCTACCAGTATGTATAGAGACAGGGGAGATACTCTACCAGTAATTATGGAGACAGGGGAGATACTCTACCAGTATGTATTGAGACAGGGGAGATACTCTACCAGTATGTATGGAGACAGGGGAGATACTCTACTAGTATTAATGGAGACAGGGGAGATACTCTACCAGTATGTATTGAGACAGGGGAGATACTCTCCCAGTATGTATTAAGACAGGGGAGATACTCGACCAATATTTATGGAGATAGGGGAGATACTCGCCCAATATTTATGGAGACAGGGGAGATACTCTACCAGGATTTATGGAGATAGGGGAGATACCCTACCAGTATTTATGTAGACAGGGGGGATACCCTACCAGTATGTATTGAGACAGGGGAAGACAGTGGAGATACTCTACCAGTATTTATAGAGACAGGGGAGACACTCTACCAGTATTTATAGAGACAGGGGAGACACTCTACCAGTATTTATGGAGATAGAGGTGATATATGTACCATTATATGTATGTATGGAGACAGGGGAGATACTCTACCAGTATATATGGAGACAGGGGAGATACTCAACCAGAATGTATAGAGACAGGGGAGATACTCTACCAGTATTAATGGAGACAGTGGAGATACTCTACCAGTATTTATGGAGACAGGGGAGACACTCTACCAGTATTTATGGAGATAGAGGTGATATATGTACCATTATATGTATGTGATGTACTTGTGGTAAGAAGGGCGACTATTACCCTGTTGATTAACCTAATATTGCACCTTTGAGATAGTTTTAAATGATTTAAAGTTTACCTTAGTTTAAATATATACACTGGCCTTGCTATATATCCTGCCCTTGTTTTTTACAATCCAATTGAACAGCTTGGTCGCTCTTTAGATGAATGTGCCAGTAAAGCTATTGGATTATCTGATGTATGTAACCACTACTTGTAAAGTTTAATACGGGTCTAGTGTTCAGTGACCATAGTGATCACATAATAGGGTCGGGACCAGTGACTAAACGTCGATCAATGGACAGGTATTCAGCACCATGATATGTTAGCTGTATAATTTCGCTAGTGCATGTACTGTACAACCCAATAGTGTTACATGTATTTAGCTATACGACGTATTCCAGTTACCATTTCAGTAACCATAACAATGAGGGTGAGTGAATTGGACTGCAGAGAAGCACTGTAGGTTACGACCTGTGAGTATGGGCGTTAAGCTGAGTAAACATTTCAACTGTCAACAGAGGGAAACCACGTGGTTACACTACCTTGGAAATCATCCGGTATCAAAAGAGTTTGTCCGACCTCGAAGTAAGCTCCGTCCTTGTCTTTGTAAATAGTCCGAGCCTTCACCTGTCGTTTGGTGTATTTACTGTGTAACCACACGGGCTGTTCCGAGTAAATCTTCAGCCCCGGATACAAATTTCCCTTCCCTGGGGCCTCGGAAAACCGACACACCCTCTGGAGGTTTCCAGACTCCTCCGTCAGTTGTCCGAGAGTATACGTCCTATCGCTCCAAATGATCTCGGGAGGGGGCAATTTGTCGGTAGGTGGGGCGGTCGGGTCCTCGTCCTGTGGGGCAGGGGGGTCATCAGTCGGACCCACCTCCTCGTAGACCGGTTCATCTGTGTCTGGGTTAACGTTAGTGGTGTCCTCGATTGTGTGGTCGTCCAGATTCGTATCTATGGCAGCCTCGGCCATGTCGGAGCACGTGCGGGAGTTAGGTAGACATCGGAACTGTTTTTCTATCAGAATATAATAATGGAGGTCTCTTTATAACCATCCAAACCATATAAATACAACAAGGCAGGTCTGACGTTCTCATCGATCTGCGCTGTATAAATAGAACATTGTCAACATTGTACTGGCAAGACCGGTTTTCTACGGCGGTGCCACGCTCCGGTGACTCGGGCGGTATAAGCTTTAATAGGTCTGTACAGGTAACAGGTCAGAAATCGAATATTAGCTGTAGACGTTTACGTCTGATGACGTAACCGAGTAGTCACAGGTATACGCCTTCTTGTTGGTGATAAAGCAATCAGGCCAGTTTAGGTGTTTATTCTATTTTTAGGTAAATTTATAATATTTTTTTTTGTGTAGGATAGCATTTAAAATATGTATATGTAATGGATTGTTAATTTACTTAGTTAGGTCACGGAATTCGATGTTATCTAAGTCCGTGGTTAGGTATTTGGTGTGAAACAGATAGTATTGTTCAAAAGTTACTTCACACATCGCTTAACAAAATATTATGTCACGGGCTCATACACAGTGCCTGCAGACATACATATATATTTACATTCTTGATGTTTGTTCTGTACATGAACCTACCAACTAAAAAACAATTGCCATTAGACCACGAATACACTATGAATACAACGATTCTCGTGCAACCAGTCAGCTGATTACCAAAGTCTCTGATATTACTACCGTTTCTGAGAATAGTTATCTCCCCTTATCCGAGATAACGTAGTTGCGAGAATTAGCTTTCCAAAAAGCTAAGAGGGTTACCAACAGCATTATTTATTAGTAAGCAGTTATAGTAGAGTTGGAGAAAGATGGGTATGTAGAAGCTCGCGTAGTTATGCTGAGAATATATTTAAAATATACATAAGTTGGTGGTCAGTGCGTCAACGAGCGGGCAACTGTTAACCTGTTGGTCAGGTGGTACTATGGAGTTGTGAACAATGTTACGTCGCATAACTGCAGGATTGTTCCCCAGTTGAGGGACAGGCCTTTTCAGGGCTGTACAAACCCTGCTACCTGATATATACATGATTAGTAAATGCCCTAGCAGGGGCCTCACTATCCAATGAGAAAGAGATAACATGAATAGCATGCAACCAATGACTAGTACTACTTCTAATATAAGAACCAATGACAATTACAACGTAAGATAGCAGGTCACACTAATACCACAACCGGATTTTCAGGACCAGCATGTTTTTGGGGTTTTTTGGTTTTTTTTTTAAAGTGATTGCGCAAGTTAGAAAATGTTCTGTTATATAATTTAAAAGAACATATTAATACTTGCACATAAATAAGAAAGAAAAAAAATCAAACCCCCATGCGGGGTTTGATCTGTAGACACTTTGCCCACTTCCGGTGCTTCCCCATGCGTTAAAGCCTTCTGGGAAATTAGGGCCGAATAAGATCTACACAATTTTGATAGTAAAGCCCATACGATATACGTATTTATTACATTTTACTAGTGAGATATAATTAATTGTTAATTTAAGAAAAACATATCAATACAGTGAAGATTAACGAAAAGTTGTATCTTCACATGTGAAAAAAACGCTCTTAGTATTGTCAAATCAGAACGGTACATTACATTCACTGCGTATATTTACAACTTTAGATAAAGCGACGGCAGAATAAATGGTTTTGTGGTTCCACCTTGCACAATACATTATGGTATTTACATAACTACACAACTTATATCATTTTTGTTTGGAAAGCTGACCAGATAATACAGTTGTGGGATCGCACAACGTTACACGATGGGCGCACGATGTGTGCACGGTGTGTGAACGATGTGTCCACGAAGTGCGAACGATAAAAAATGGAGCACATTTGTGCGGACGATCGACGAACGTTGGGCAATAACAATCGTGGTTGTTGTAAATTAAGGAATGGCTTGACAATATATACGGTTTCGTGTTTGAACATAAAATTAGATTTATTAGTATGTTTCTATACTATAGCTACATATATAAGCTTATCTTTCTGTCTATACTTTCTTAAATTTAGAAATGGTGTCTTGTGCGTTTTTTAAACGACCTTAATCGACACGTGTAAATTTACAACACAGTCTCGGCTACACAGGTAAACATTGCCACTTTGTACCTGGACCGTACGTTACCCCGCCCGGGGCACTTACGTAACTCGCCAAGGTGTGAAAACCAGATGAAGGGGAGCTATAGACCAAAACGAATGCAAATAACAAATATCAAACGTCCAGTTGAGTTTTCAAAACGGTCATGCGGTATCATATATCAGCTCATATCTGTCAAGTACAGGCCAGATAAAACTCCGGTCAGCCATCAAATTGTTATTTACCTGTTCTGTTACCGAGGAGCCAAACCCATTCTTGACAGTCTAACGGTCACTGTATACTGTATTACACGCATTGTAAACTTGTACATAATCTTAATTTTAGCGGAGACGTATACGTCTCTGATTATAGTGATGAGAAATTAGAGTGATATATACAGTGTACATTATTGCATACGAGCATTCCGGTTTTTTCCCATTCCGTAATATTGATCAACAAATTGTACCACATCGCACAGATGTGCGGAGAGAAGCGCACAACGGGGCGAACGATTGTTAAATCGCACAGTTGTGCGCACCATGGTTGGACGACGTGCGGACGGTGTGTGAACGATGTATGCACAGTATGCGAACGGTATTTTTGGTGAGTTGTGCGTTACCACAACTGTAGCAGCAAACGACATAAATGCATTAAGAAACCCATTCAAAATGGCGCTCTGTGTTGGTGTCAAGCGTGACGTCATTAGAACAATGACGTCACGCTTGACATCAACACAGAGCGCCATTTTGAATAGGTTTCTTAATGCATTAATGTCGTTTGCTGCTACAGTTGTGGTAACGCACAACTCACCAAAAATACCGTTCGCGTCAAAAATTACGCTACAAGTTCACGCGCTTTTCTAATATAGCAATATTTGCGTAGCGTGACATGAATAGAAAATTTAATTGATTTCCCGTTGAATACTATATATACATTTCACTCGTCAGGCATAAATGATATTTGATGTAAATCATGTAAATCTCTCTCTCAGAAGATAACGTTATTACCAAGTCATTGACATTTAAATGTGCAGTTAAAATGTACATTTGCGTGCTTGGGGACAATTCTGAACGACAAAATTAATGCCATTAACAAATCTATTTGAAGAAAGAATGCAGGATCGGTTCTTTCATCTTCATCTTCATCTTTAACCTTACCCGTCAACAGTGACGATTACGAAATGGTGGTCTTGTGCTGTAGTTCGTTGTTATGTACAGTGATTTCTTTTGGTTATTTGCTATAGGATAAAAGCAGGTTAAAAGTAGTGAGTGTTAGTTATATTGTAGGTTTTGTATATGTTCGAGTATGTTATATGTGGTGCATGGCCTGAATTCTGCTAGTGTTTCCAGTTGGATTATTGTTTTGGGTAGGAGGTTCCACTGTGTTATGTTGCTATATGCTATATTCTAGTATATATAAATATTGATCTCCAGCAGCGTTGCTGCTCTTTCTTGTTGGTTTAGTGACCCAAATCCTTACAGGACCAAAACATTCATTACTAAAACCAGGACAGGGAAAGCCGGAAACAAATATTTATTTTAAGTATTATTAACTCAATTTTAAAGCTTATTTTATGTTGTTATTTCATGTAGGAAATACAAGAACACCATACTAAATGTATAAATAAAATAAAAACGATATGTTTCAAATACTATTTTTACTTGTTATTACGGCTTTTGTAATTTTGCTATTTTACTAAAACCAGGACTGGTGATGTCAGGACCGGTATGTTTGGTATGTTTTGGATTTCTGTTTTAAATCTTAATGCAATGTATATTTTTGATATAGACTTGTGCTAAAATGCATTTTTATTCATGTCATATCAATTCATTAGGGTACGGTTGCATTTAAAAACATGAAAAAAACACATTAAAGCACTTCGCCCTGGTTTTCCGTCTGGTTCTGGTACATATGCCCATTCGGAGCTCTCTGATTTTATCATTATCCGACCATAACCAAACAACAGCGCCGCCGTGCGTTGAATAGCAGAACAATGTCAAACAACCTGTATTTTACCTCTAGGAATGGTGACATCACAGACAGCATGTAACCAATCACTGCGTGTAAAGTATGTTAGCGATCAAAGTACACAGACTATTTATGTAGCAAAAATCATGAATGGTGCACCATTGAACTATTATTATTAATCTTTCTAATTTAAAACTTATAAATTACTTATAACATTGTCATTAAATACTGACTTCCGACTCGCAATCGGTTCCTCGTGGTCACGAACTATCTAGGCTAAACTCAGAGAATTTTATAATGATACGGGGCACGTCATCCACCAACTTATCATTATTTACATCATTCAACGACTGCACTTCAAATGAGCTCTATGCCTACTGCCGACGGGTTCTCGGCCGACGAGTCCCGTGGATGGTTACTATGGTGACCGATGATTTGAAATAGTGCGGACATTAACATTTTTAAATATATAATATGCGGTGTTTAATGCGAAAAAAACATCAAATAGATCAACTTTCAAAAATGAAAGGAATATCAAGTGTTGGTTATTATTAGATTCTATATACATTTTCGTTTCAACAAAATCAGCTGATCTGCGGAAGTCGATCACTTGAAGTGTGTGTGTAGGCTGGAGTTCTGGCTGTTCCTTTTTTATGGTTTTCTGACCGATACTAATATTAAAAAAAAAATCTACAAAAAGCGTTGTAACCTTTTTTATTGTAGTTCATCGTAACGTAAATATATGAATTGAATGGATAACGCGCTCCACAGGATATGTAGATCAGCTACTGCTATGCATTGCCGCAATGTACATGATAGAAAATTCAATTCACATATAAAATCTACATGATGTCCAGATGGTCGGTAAACTGTCTAATTGTAATCCATCATTCGGCAGTGTTCTGCCGAGTACCACAATTTCTGAAAGTAATTAAGACATGTATATCATAATCTTCCTGAAAGAATATCATATTTATCTTTTACTTAAACCAATATGGATACAAGCCCGTATTGGAGGTTAAATTTCTATGGAATATGACTTACACAAACTATGAGCTTGCTGTCAAATCTCTATCCGTCATTTTCAAGGGGTTTTATATGATTGTTGTTGTTTTTATTGGATGAAATACTGTTTAAACTAAATCTTGAAACAAAAGACGTTCGTTACCAGGGAAGTGAAAATTGAATGCAATCTTCAAACTTTTTTATAAGCTGCTTATCTCCCTTAAGCTTCCAGATGTTAGATACAGTGTGGTGTGTGTACGAGTTTGAATCAATGTAATTTGTATATACACGAGTTTAATAGTGAATTTCCATTCAAATGTGGTGAAAATGTAATCAGAAATTCGGAAGAAGTCGTTCGAAATTGTTTACGTCTACAGGCTCACCTTAATACAATAGTCCGTTTTGAAACAACGTCTCTTCTAACGTTATACAGAAACCTGCTTTGAGAGGCATGGATGGTCAATTTAAAAGTGCAATCACTAAATCGTCATAAGCTGGACAAGTACTACACAAAAACTGATGTAATATAAATCCTAATTGAGTGCACCAATGCACTTAATAGGGTGTAATATAAATCCCAATTGAGTGCACCAAAGCACTTAGTAGGGTGTAATATAAATCATAATTGAGTGCACCAAAGCACTTCGTAGGATGTAATATAAATCCTAATTGAGTGCACCAATGCACTTAGTAGGGTGTAATATAAATCCTAATTGAGTGTACCAATGCACTTAGTAGGGTGTAATATAAATCCTAATTGAGTGTACCAAAGCACTTAGTAGGGTGTAATATAAATCATAATTGAGTGTACCAATGCATTTAATAGAGTGTAACCTTAGTCCATTTTATGAGCAACATCGATTTGTTCAATATTACACTCTTCTTGGTGTCACTTTTAGATTTTCTTGGTGTAATAGTATACTTTATTTGGTGACTTATATTTGTTTGTTCTTGGTAACGTTACACTTATTCGTGTTTACTATAACACCACAAATGTTGCCACCTTTTTTGGTGTGATCTAGCTCGGTGTAAACTTAAACCTTTACAGGGGACAACCTTTAATGGTGTAATCTCACTCAGATATGTTTACAGTGCAGTTTCTCTTCATACAAAACAATATATATCGGGAAACACGTTTCTCCGCAGACAAGTAAAGAAATAAATTGGTAAGATTGTTTCTTTTGTCAATATGAACAGATTCTGTCTATAAGATCACCTATGTTCTCCCCACGATAGGTCGTGTCATTACATTAATTGGTTTCTCATAAAATGTTACAGTATGAATTAGAATGTAGTTGTATCATTTTCACCACTTTTACTTTTATATATACACCATCGACACCATGCGCTATTTCATTGTTTTCTGTGATAGATAGGAATTCATTTTGTTTACAGAAACATGAACAAGAAATTGTGAAGGGAATATTTGATATAATTTCGAGTGTAGGTGTCATGTTGTAGAGCCTACTATCAAACACGATATCAAAACAACGAACACATTGGAATTGACGTTATTTTTTTCCAATTTATTTCATGTTCACAAAACAAAATACATAATATATACTATATGTTATAAATAACCTCTTTACTGCCATGTTCCTCCTAACCATATATCAATACATATATTGCACTTCGAGATTCAGAACATATTCCTGATAAAACAAATAAAAAATAAAGTACCGGAAGTACTAACTCGGCCCGAACGTACACGAGGCCCCGGATGTTCACAATCCATCGTTAATTAAAATACGCTTACTAAATCACATTTTCCTTTATATTTCAAAATTATTGTTAATACCTACAGATGTTGGTATTTAAAATTACAATCCGGGAACAATTTACGTCCGATTGTATGACCGTTTTAATACTTCTACAGCGAATATCGGTTTGATAATTCAAATCACCGTTCTATAAAGTAGCCGGAGTTCTCAACTGCAAGGCAGTGTGCGTAATGGAATGAGGAGCAGAGAAACGGACCTCATCGTCATGGAATGTTGATGAATGAACAAAATATGGAATGAATAAAAATAAACCAAGATTTAACTCGTACATGTATAGAAAAAGAACCGCTTTCAAGGAATGGACTAGTATACAGCTTACATTGTAGTGAGATCTTAAAAACGGACCCTTCATGAATGGCGACCCAGCATTTACTAACTAACAGCACGGAATTAGATTAGTCCGTGCTAACAGGGACATGTTTTATATTTGTGGATTTCAATTTCAAAATTATGGAAAAACAATTATTATCAACGTTGGCCCTTATTTTATTGATAAAAAATTACCCAATAAATATCTATATAATTTGTATCTTCAATATCAAGAAAATGGAATGTGTTAGAGAAGGAATAATTAATAATAAATAAGTAACATAGTAATGCACTGAAGGTCATAATAAAACTTTATCGGACATGATAGCACAGACCGGGACAAATGACGTCATGTCGACCGAAAATACACTTCTCGTTTACGGTAAAATCCGCCGACATTCTCGATTTTCCCCTTACCGATCAGCTGCAATTTTTTCGTTACAGGGGAGATAACTCTAATTATCAAAAAATAGTGCGTCAAGTTTTAATAAATAGATGAGAAAATGGACAGGCACCTTGTCTGAGTGAGTATTAGGAATATAAATAAACAAATAGATAACAAAATGAGCAAAATAAAAATAACAAACTAAAAATACACGTAAACTAACAGTTTTAAGTATACGGATGACATAACCCCACAGAGTCATAAGGCAAATATATTTTAAATACAAAATCAGACAAGTCCATGGCTGTATATATAAAGTTGGCTTGTCCGGCAGTGGGTACCGTATTATTACACAAATATCATGACTAGGTCTTGTATGCATTGAGATTCCAATATTAAAATGAGAACAGTACATAAGCTTTCATACCCAAAAATAGTGTATTGTACATACAGGATTTTCCTAGCACTTAGGTGAGAGATTACCTCTGTTCAGAGTTTAGCAGACACTGCCCTAACTAGACGTGACCCATGAACGTTCCTGTAAGGCCCAATAACGTTGTCAACATGTAAATAAATAAGCTTCATGGATAAGACAATACGTTGTAATAAATATATATACATAAGGTGAACTTCCATATAATTGATATCACAACACACACACAGCTGTTTATAAGCCGGGTGTAATCATTTTATAGTAAAAGTACAATTGGATTTTTATATCATTATAATCTTGAAAAGCCTAAAATCAAGATCTACTGTTATCAATAAAAACGAAAATAAAATAGCATATATATCACATAGAAAGTGAAATAATTTAAAAAGACGTTTGTCTAAAAATAATTCAATGTGGCATTGTCTAAGTTCCACTAGAAGTCATAAGTCTGACTCAGCCTCGTCTTAGTTTCACTTAAAGTCGTTAGTCTGACTCAGCCTCGTCTTAGTTCAACTAAAAGTCGTAAGTCTGACTCAGCCTCGTCTTAGGTCCACTAGAAGTCGTTAGGCTGACTCAGCCTTCTCTTAGTTCCACTAGAAGTCGTTAGTCTGACTCAGACTTGTCTTAGCTCCACTAGAAGTCGTTAGTCTGACTCAGACTTGTCTTAGCTCCACTAGAAGTCGTTAGTCTGACTCAGACTTGTCTTAGTTCCACTAGAAGTAGTTAGTCTGACTCAGCCTTGTCTTAGTTCAACTAGAAGTCGTTAGTCTGACTATATCACATAGAAAGTGAAATAATTTAAAAAGACGTTTGTCTAAAAATAATTCAATGTGGCATTGTCTAAGTTCCACTAGAAGTCATAAGTCTGACTCATCCTCGTCTTAGTTCCACTAAAAGTCGTAAGGCTGACTCAGCCTCGTCTTAGTTTCACTTAAAGTCGTTAGTCTGACTCAGCCTCGTCTTTGTTCAACTAAAAGTCGTAAGTCTGACTCAGCCTCGTCTTAGTTTCACTTAAAGTCGTTAGTCTGACTCAGCCTCGTCTTTGTTCAACTAAAAGTCGTAAGTCTGACTCAGCCTTGTCTTTGTTCCACTAGAAGTCGTAATTCTGACTCAGCCTCGTCTTAGTTTCACTTAAAGTCGTTAGTCTGACTCAGCCTCGTCTTAGTTCAACTAAAAGTCGTAAGTCTGACTCAGCCTTGTCTTAGTTCCACTAGAAGTCGTTAGTCTAACTCAGCCTTGTCGTAGTTCCACTAGAAGTCGTAAGTCTGACTCAGCCTTGTCTTAGTTCCACTAGAAGTCGTTAGTCTGACTTGGTGTTCGTATACGTCGACTAGCAGTAGTAAGTCTGACTTATCATGTCTGACACAGTCTAATTCAGTTAGACTAAATAGGTTTAAAGCTAACTAGATCTTCCTCGATCTGGTCGCACTCTGAATTAATCTACCTCGGCTTTGTCTTCATCTGAATATTCTGGCTGAAAGCGACCCACTGCATGTATTGAATATAGCTTGTGGACATTGCTGTTTCTGGGGTGGAAAGCTTTCTCCAAGATACACGTGATACTATAGGTACTATCCGTATCAATCCTAGAATAACTACTACTGTATCTTGTGTCAGATTTACCTCAACAAGTATACCTAAGTACGATAAGTAATCTATCATTCTACAGAAATGTTAAAATTGACATAACGCCTGAGATCAAATCAACATCATGGACAAAAAATTGCACTAATCCACAAAATAAATTAACCAGTCAAAAATTAAACCAATAACATACTTATACACGTCCGTTATAATTGACAATCCAGTATCTCTTCAAAAAGCATGATATAGCATTGTTGTCTCTCAACATTTTTCTTTAAATATACGTCTTTTTTATAGTTTAACTTTCAAACTTATATATACAGCTCGGATAATGAAACTCGCACATACTGCACAAACAATAAGTATATATACAGACGTCATAGACCATATCTCTCAGGACACCTATAGAAACAAATCACAAGAGTTATCTACCCTTGTGCTCTTCATTTACATCATATATAATAGGCAAACTGTATTCTCACTTATACGCGAGATACACATAAATATTCATACCACATTGAGCCAGAAAGAAAACATATTTTACAATGATCCCGCGAATCACAAGCGATTATCCTCATCTCCTCTCTAATGTCATGATATGAATATTGAAGGTACTAGATTCAATTTTTTGTGTGCGATAAAAGTCAACATATTGTTGCGTCTTTTGTTCTTATTTTATGTAAAAATCTCAAATTTCTCTCTACTACTAGCAACTTAAGAAAGACATTATGACCGTAGATAGAAAAATAGAACAAGGAATATTCCACAAGTATTCTTGTAGTTTGTTCAATAAGAATTGAAATGTCTCCAAGGTACCGGGCATTGCCGACATTCTCCGGAAACATCCCAACACTACCATGAGGGAATACTCCTAAATAACATAATCACAATCTGGAGAAAAATAAAGCGAGGTATATGTTTATAAAATAACACTTCAGTAGATCATATTTATATACTCTTCAAAATATCGACGTTACCAAGGCATTCAAGTGTTTTCAAAATTAAAAAAAAAGAATCCTGCTGCAGTTTAAAATAGAGTGATGTTTGTCCGTTAATTCTGCTGCAGAAGCAGCTGCTCCAGCTCGTCTGCTGATCGATAGAGGAAGGCGGCCGACTCCCTGTAGCCGGCTATCAGCTGTTTTATCGTCGCCACTTCACTGGCACTCAGCTGGTTCTTGGAAGCTTGCTTCTTCATACTTAGGTCTGTTGGGCCTGTGAAATACAAAGTTATCAGGTTAACTACAAATTATCGTCCCTGTCTCAAAACACAACATGCACAAATCAAACACGAAAATAAGGTCATTTTTAATCATGTGAAGCTTACTATTTTCCAGAAACACAACTTGGGTGATCGTTTTATTTTATACAGGTGTACACCTTGCATTATCTGAAACATTAACTTAAATACCAATACAATCCCTCTCCATCGTCCTCCTTTTTGACCTAAGCTGCCAGAAGAGGTACCCATGAAACCCCAAATATATCATGAAATCTGCTTTTGAACGTTAAGAAGCATTGGTAACCGAAATGGAAGATAAGACCAATATTATATATAGTATACACAATAAAATGCACAGTTAAGAACTAGCAGGTATAGGGATTTTTTTAAACAGCCCAATCGAACGCCAAAATAGAGATTATAAAAGACAACTTACACGTACCGTTTTGAACCGAGGCTGGTGCTATGGGGCTATGTTGCAAGACTGGTGGATGGTGATGTGCCGGATGTTGATAACCTGGCGGAAATCCGGGACGAAAAATTCCATTTCCGTTTGTAAAAAAAGGTGGGTGGAACTCCGGGGGTGGTCTGAAGGCAGGCGGTGGCTGGTGGCGCATGAAATCATTTGTTGATGGAGGATGACGTTCTATCTGTGAAGCAGGAGGCGCCTGGGGCGAGGCCCTGGATGGGGGCTGGGAGTGAGGGGAGGGCGTGGCCTGCTGCGGGGGCTGAGGCTGAGGCTGGACCACGGCAGGCTGTACAACAGGCTGGGCTGTCGTCGGATTGGTCGTGGTGAGCACGGTTGTCATAGAACCAGCCTGAAACGAGGAAGAAAGCGTTATAGAGGGTACTACTGACAACAGTGACGTCATAGATTAATTATACGCCCTTAATCTATGTCCGCATATATTCTAATAAATATATTGGTACATTTTTATAGATTTGTTATGTGACGGTAACAATTCGTCGTTTGTGCTTTCTTTAGTTTGGGTCTTGACCAAAAGAGCTTCTGATATTATACCGTAGTCCTTATTCGGATTTTTTTTTATATTATACCAGCACATCAGCGATTCAACATAACTGAACACTGAACTAAAGGTCAGACCAACATTGGCAGTGAGCCACATCCGGTAACATTGCGGTCAGAACAACATTGACAGTGAGCCACATCCGGTAACTTTGCGGTCAGAACAACATTGACAGTGAGACACATCCGGTAACGTTGCGGTCAGAACAACATTGACAGTGAGCCAAATTCGGACACGTTGTGGTCAGACAAACATTGACAGTGACCCACATCCGGTAACATTGTGGTAAGATCAACATTGACAAAGTACCACATTCGGTAACGTTGTGGTCAGAATAACATTGACACATAACCACATCCGTTAACAATGTGGTCAGACCCAAATTTACCGTGAGCTACAACCGGTAACGTTGTGGTCAGACCAAAATTGACAGTGAGCCAACTCAGGTAACGTTGTGGTTAGACCAACATTGAAACAGAACCACATCCGGTAACGTTGTGGTCAGACCAAAATTTACCGTGAGCTACTTCCGGTAACGTTGTGGTCAGACCAAAATTGACAGTGAGCCACATCCGGTAACGTTGTGGTTAGACCAACATTGAAACAGAACCACATCCGGTAACGTTGTGTTCAGACCAACATTGACACAGAACCACATCCGTTTACGTAGTGATCAGACCAACAAGAACATTGAACTTAATCAATCTAGTTGTATGACAGTTCTCACCGGAAGTGGCTCCATCCCCATTCTCATTCTTTTGGCGTTTTGACTCTCGTTCTCGCACGCCTGCGCCAGGTAGCTTTCGGCAGTGGCTGATGTCAGATGTGGGGGCGTGGGTCGTATCTGCTGTGGAATACAGAACACGACGTGAGACACATATTTGTACTATGGTGTTTAAAGATATATTTAAGAACATCCAAGCTAGTATGATCTGAATTGGATTCGGTCTGGGTCATCAGACAATATAGAATAGTTGCTCGTTCCATCATAAAGATTTTGATATTGGAGACCTGACATCATAACAAACAAATGAGCTTTACTTTGTTGCTGGAAACTTAGCCTGGTGATCTTGGTTGATTTCTGTAATTAACAATGCCATATACATTTACCCCTTATATCGTGGTGACTGAACAACACAGTGACTATGGTCACATTTACCCCTTATATTGTGGTGACTGAACAACACAGTAACTATGGTAACAGTTACCCCTTATATTGTGGTGACTGAACAACACAGTAACTATGGTAACAGTTACCCCTTATATTGTGGTGACTGAACAACACAGTGACTATGGTAACATTTACCCCTTATATTGTGGTGACTGAACAACACAGTGACTATGGTAACATTTACCCCTTATATTGTGGTGACTGAACAACACAGTGACTATGGTAACATTTACCCCTTATATTGTGGTGACTGAACAACACAGTGACTATGGTAACATTTACCCCTTATATTGTGGTGACTGAACAACACAGTGACTATGGTAACATTTACCCCTTATATTGTGGTGACTGAACAACACAGTGACTATGGTAACATTTACCCCTTATATTGTGGTGACTGAACAACACAGTGACTATGGTAACATTTACCCCTTATATTGTGGTGACTGAACAACACAGTGACTATGGTAACATTTACCCCTTATATTGTGGTGACTGAACAACACAGTGACTATGGTAACATTTACCCCTTATATTGTGGTGACTGAACAACACAGTGACTATGGTAACATTTACCCCTTATATTGTGGTGACTGAACAACACAGTGACTATGGTAACATTTACCCCTTATATTGTGGTGACTGAACAACACAGTGACTATGGTAACATTTACCCCTTATATTGTGGTGACTGAACAACACAGTGACTATGGTAACATTTACCCCTTATATTGTGGTGACTGAACAACACAGTGACTATGGTAACATTTACCCCTTATATTGTGGTGACTGAACAACACAGTGACTATGGTAACATTTACCCCTTATATTGTGGTGACTGAACAACACAGTGACTATGGTAACATTTACCCCTTATATTGTGGTGACTGAACAACACAGTGACTATGGTAACATTTACCCCTTATATTGTGGTGACTGAACAACACAGTGACTATGGTAACATTTACCCCTTATATTGTGGTGACTGAACAACACAGTGACTATGGTAACATTTACCCCTTATATTGTGGTGACTGAACAACACAGTGACTATGGTAACATTTACCCCTTATATTGTGGTGACTGAACAACACAGTGACTATGGTAACATTTACCCCTTATATTGTGGTGACTGAACAACACAGTGACTATGGTAACATTTACCCCTTATATTGTGGTGACAGAACAACACAGTGACTATGGTAACATTTACTTCTTATATTGTGGTGACAGAACAACACAGTGACTATGGTAACATTTACACTCCAACGGTAATTTGACTTTTTTATCAGTTTAATGTAAATATTTAGTACAAACCGGCTCCCATCCGTTTTGTTCCTTAGAGCGCCGCATTCTCCGACACGACTTGAGGTAGGTACGGATTCGCTTTCGGGATCGCATGTGAAATTCCGGGAACTGACGATCACACGCTTCCAAGATTGCCTGCACTTTGTCTTTAGGTTGTTTTGAAATAGGAACCATTCGATCCAAATTTTCGTCTACGAATAATCGCACGAACATCTGAAAATCAAAAGTCGTAGCCATATTTAACCATCGTTCAGCGTTTTGCTTAGAATGAGTTTTTAACAAAAGTCTCCTTAAGTTTAGATGTTCAAGTTTTATTGCAGAGGTCTAACATGTGCTAGAATATAAAACGGTCTTTTAATTAGTTTGATAAATAGCTGCGCTGTATCTACAACTAAAGCAATCTTTGCTCGGTATAACATAAATTATAACAGGACACTGTTTTAAAGCTTGTTCACGTCTCTTAATCAGTGGCGTTTTCATATCAAATTCCAAACATTGTCTTAGCTATGCATGTTCCGGATTCCTTTCAGTCTTAAACTGTAGCTGACAAATGAGCAGCAGATACATATTGACTTCCTTACGTTAAACGATTTTAATCGCTCAGGGTCGTAATTTTTTCCGGCGGAGAGGAGTTTTTCATCATCCTCCATGTCATCATCGTCGTCATCATCTTTACTTCCTTGAAGATCATCGACAGTACCTCCTTCACTCGCCCTTGTTGAGCTCTTGAAAAGACAGATTGTATCAGTATAGTATTAAACAGAGTATCCATGTATTATACACATCAAGTCAGCATTTAAAAGTATTTATAATGCTTACCAATATAATCATTTCACAAAAAAACAATACAAATAATAATAACTAGGTGCATATGAAATACTAACATGGCAGAGCTGTTGGGTAATATATAGTCGCCTACTTCTGGACAAATTCTGGTATTCAAAATGTACAAAGGGCCATTACTCTGCATAAAGGGGAGCACGAGATTTCAGTACGCCACACTTTGCTCCACGAGATTTCATATGCAACACTTTGGTCCACGAGATTTCAGTACGCCACACTTTGCTTCACGAGATTTCAGTACGCCACACTTTGAAATCTCAAGGAGAACCCATAAACAAAATGTGACAATTGAATGCGACAGAGTTTAACAGATGTGCCCAGACAAAGTGACGCACGAACTGGTAGACTGGCGGAAAGCTAACCTATAGTCCCCTCTTGAAGCACATTGTACCGCTGGGGGACTTATAAAGTATTTGCAAAACTGAAATAGATTTACCTCACAACTGTCATCGCTGGCCCGTCTCTTCCTCTCGGGATGCCCCCCAGTAGAAGGGATGGGCGATTTACTGATGATACTCAGGGACAACGCCCTTTCTTCATCCATAGGACTGTCCGCCATGCGCAGTCCTCGTGGCGTAGATAAATTTACTGGAATAAGCCCCTCACCGTTCTCACATGTCGATTCTGTAAAACATAAAGATTACCCATCTTGAATTTAACTAGTCAATGTTCAATATGTCATCCAGACTAAGGTCGTAGTTCATATCAGACTCACTGATTAAACAGACTCGGATCAGTACACTTGTAAATCTTGAAGGGGTGTTCCATGAACTCATACATCTTAAGAACAATAGGTAGAAACATCAAAGGGAGCGTAATTATAGTTTGTACCACCTACCTATGTAATCTTACTATAGTAATACAACAATTTTCTGTTGATGTTTCCTGTCCGTTTGTATCACACTGTGTGATACAACATACTAGCCGGAACTACTTTTTATGGGAATCCCCTTGTCATGGCGAACTGAAAAGTTCCAGGTATTTGCAAAAAATATCAAAGTTTATAAAATCTTTGTATCGATCTCTACCAAATACGGAAGGAAAGGAATGTGATCTAAGAAAGCACTCATTTATTGCGCGGACGTATATTCGACCGCGCAATAAACTCGTGCTTGCATATGTATCATATATGTACTATACTTGCTCGAAAGACATGTGTGATTGTTCTTATAACGTGTCTAATAAGTTATTTTGGCTAGACACATTTTATGTATTGTGATTTTATGAATACTATGTGTTTGACTCGAAAATATTTCACCCTGGTAAATTACTAGCCGCTACCGGCTCGGTTAGAGAGAACTTCTAACGTTTAAGACTACAGTAGCTAAATCAGAGGTCCCGGGTTCGACCCCTAGCGGAGACATTGAAAAAAATAATGACCTCTGTTGCATATATATGTGTTCATTGATACATGTGTGAAGTGACTTTGTGTTGGTGTAGTGATATATGCGAGTAGTAATATTTAAAACTACAAATTGATATACGCTGTGATAAAACATAGTTCGTGTAAACAATACCAGTAAATACCAGTGTTAGGTATTGCTTCAGGTGACACTACATATAAACACCTGTTCGGACTGGACGTCAGATCACGTTTGGCCATCCTCGTGCCGGATCGTTTACAGATCTATAGGAAGCGGATTACAATAAAGGTATGCCATTTGTTGTACGTGTGATTACAATAGAACACCTGCAAACAGGTAGATATGTTACCCAATTACATGAGAATCATTAACACAGGTAAATTATTCTAATTCTGTTTTTACAAAAGCTGTTCATCACTCAATTCACAAAGAAGGAAATTGTTTACAACAATTTGTTTAATCGCTTCAGACTCATTAAATTGATGAAACAGGCAAAATCTTAAAATGGAAAATATTTTGTGGCATTTCAGTTTATAACGACATGAGAAAGCTTCCTCGATTTGATTTATAATCACAATCAAGACTCAATAAATGGTCAAAAGGTAAAAAAGAAAATTAGCCCATAAAAACGGAAAATGTGTTCATTAAAACAATATTGTGACTTCCATCATAACAACTGCCTAATGACGGTCAGGGATATATAACGGTCTGTCTGAGTTATCGTGTAAAAATCTAATGGCACCTCGCAGACCCGACAATCCCATTTCCGATCTCGGCTCCCGATCAAGCTCTCCACCTTTCCATATCCTCGCTCACCGCTAGTTTAATCCCGTGGACTCAGCTACCGCCGAGACAGATACCCGTTACCATGGTAACCAATCCAATTCATTTTCCTACCTGCCACTTAACGCGTTACCTGTAAAAACCAGTACAGTGCTCACCTATCGAAAAATATCGATTTTTCCAGCAAAGAAATCGCCTTCTCCCTTACCTGTCTCAAATTCTTCCATTATAAAACGACAGCTTTAACGCGCTCATGGACGTATGAAAATGTCACTTCCCTTACAAAAAAAATATGGTTTTTGTTCAGCACACACTTCGAATTAAATGACAAATTGTCAAAAAAATCGGACGAACAAATTGAATCTTGGAAAAACTCCCAGCATCGGTGTATGGCACGTCTCCGCCGACTCTCTGTCCTTTGTGACGACCGGTGAATAATGGTTCTTCTCCAACCATCTCATCGATCGTCAACCGAGGTAGTGAAGCAGACGACACGATACCTATGGCTCGTGCTTTTAATTATCCGGTATCAGGTAGGGATTTACCTTATGCTAACTTGGTTCCAGCCAATAATTTACAATCCAAAAAAACCTTGGACCTACTTCTTATTCCGTGACGCGTAACCCACACCCAGCGGTTAACTGTGACAGTCTTCCAGGTACATAACTGGCTTTAAAACCAACTACCAATAAAGAAATCCCATCTCCCTTCCCCCAATTATTGTTTAATCGTTCAAAAGACGATACACTCGGGGTTTGCCTCCAGCTTTTACCTATATTTGCTTCTAATATTACTTTGGAATTGGCCTCATCAGATGCTTATTTCGCAATATTTGTTCTAAAAAGTTTTGATTTGAAAATTCTTACAATAAATTAAAAAAGAAAAGACATTTCGTCGGAATGCGAGTAGCTTTAGAACATCTTAAATGATCGGAAGATATTTTTAATTTCCCAGAAGTGTTCAAGTTGCTTAAATATAGTTTTTTCCTGTATATAATAGCTACTCATTGATATTTTGAACTATAATCAGCTTTAATAATAATGTCGTTCATTAAAACAGACAAAAGAAAATTAATCTTGGACGGAAAGTAGCGAATGTCTCATAATTATCTCCTTAGTCGAAAAAAACGATTGCTTAAACGCCAACAATAGATTGTGTCAGTAGAGTTTATGTAGTTTTGCTTAAGTTAATATATCAAAAACAACTGTTACTAAGCAATATACAGATAACAGCTGTTACTAAGCAATATACAGATAACAACTGTTACTAAGCAATATACAGATAATAACTGTTACTAAGCAATATACAGATAACAACTGTTACTAAGCAATATGTCAATAACAACTATTACTAAGCAATATAACAACTGTTACTAAGCTAGTATGCCGATAACAACTGCCACTTAGCAATTATATAACAATAACAACGGTTAAGTTAAATATACCGATAACAACAATTGTTACTAAGTAATATGTCGATTACAACAGTTATAAAACAATATACCGATAACAACAACTGTTATAAAACAATATACCGATAACACAACTGTTATAAAACAATATACCGATAACAACAACTCTTACTAAGTTACATAACGGTAACTATTACTAAACTTATACATTATCAGGACAGCGACTGTTACCACAGTTAACAATTTACATTGAATATATAGGTTTACATGGATACCTAACCTGTGGATAAGTAAAATATACGAAAAAAGGAGTCAACCTTCAGTATAATTTTCTTTTTTTGGAAATTCTGTTTAATTTCCATCTTCAGGTTAAAATACGCGCAGAAAAACTGTCTTGTTCCCGTAACTTAATCATTAGCTGTACACCGAGTTGAATGTTTCACCATGTTTCGCTCCATGTGCGTGGATTAATTGAGTGAACTCCATATTTAATCAAATATGGCCATGAAAGCCGATTAGCCCGTCGGTCCTGACCTTATCGGGGGCCGTGCAGGTGTCTGACGGTCCAAAATCACCGGGGGACGTCCCTTATCCCCAAACCCCGCGAGGCAGGGCAATCCGCTTTACGTCAACCTGAAGGGGCTTGGAACAGGAGGGAGCTGTATTGATCATACCACCGTCGCACTACACACGAGGATCGCACAAACAAAGCAGGCTGCCAAATTTTCAAAAATATTCTATATAGTACAATGCACCTCCTTCCCTTGTCAATACAGCAAGCCTCCGTAGTCGGTTTCTTTTGCCAAAACTTGTTATTTCTGTGTGTTACACCGTCCCTACAGCAAGTACCACTGTAGAACGAAAAGAACACTGACCAAAAAGTTTGAATTCTGATAAATATGTCTTTGAAGTATGTGCTTATCGTAAATGTCTCGGATTTCCTAAAACAAGACAATTATTAAGTGTTTCTAGAAGAAGACAACTTTGAAGTGGTTATGTACATCACCTTAAATTGTACATACGTTTTGTACATCACACTGAACGTATATCAGGAATTAATCATATCGGTACGAATTGCATTGGCGTAAATACAATGTCAGAGATGGTGTGTACTAACTGCGGTATCAATCATGCATGCGCACACAACCTTTGATCACGAAATACATCAGAACATGTGCATGCAAACAACCGCTTTTGGGCGTAATACCTCGGAGTATTTATGAGCGCGAGAGCAATGCTCTTATTGCAGTTATCCCTATTTTCCTGTTTTATGCCTTTACTGTCCCGCCATTAGGCCGCACGTGGTACACGGGGTCGGCGTGGGGACCCGTCACCTCGCCGCCATGTGTATTCACCTCGAGTACTGTCACCGCGGCCCGAATCTCACCTCGATAGTCCCCAGGTAGGGGTAATAGTGTAATACACACTTACGTTTGAGAGAGCGTAAACCTTTGAGAGGGAATAATTGGCACAGTTTTGGGAGTGCTTATGTAGCGTTGCTGATGGTGTACATATTTGGGGCTCCTATTTGGTTAGCGCGCCATTTACACCTTTATCTAAACATCCCGGTCTGTGAGTAAAATGACATTTAGCGACACGCGGTACCTGATTCTGTTATCAATGTTAAAAAAAGTTGTGGTGCCGTGTGCTGAGTTAGACGTAAGAATCAGTAAATCTGCCGAAGCACGGTAACCAAGTCAAGGTGCGACAAAAGAGATGATAGTCTGGTCGCCATAGCAACAAGTCCCGCAAAGGTGAACATGATTTTAGCTCCAACATAAGTAAGTAAAATATGGGGTTATTAAGGTGTATAATCAATAACTCGGCCGCAGGAACAGGTAAACTCGACCAATTCCCACAGGTACATTTGGTGATTTGTCCTCAGGTAAAAGCCTTTATCTAAAAACGTCGTGCGTGCCAGCATCATCATCAGAGGTGCAAAGGGGATGGCAGTATATGGAGGCTGCAATCAAAGAGCCTTCAGATTTTCCATTACACTTTGAGAACGTCCGTAGCTAGACGGTAATTGCACGACAACCTGAGCTCTAAGAACAGCTCCCCACTCC